AGAGGTCATCTCGGCGCTACTGGTTCATTGTCCAAGTTGTATGATGAGATGGGAACCTGTGGTCCTCCGAGAATTTGCCACAAGCTCTCATGGCTATCAACTTCTTCTGCTGCTGGCCCACGAGACCTATGACATACAGCTGCCACTAGCTATTAATTGGCATCAAGTGGGGGGTGAGGTATTTGTCCTGGTAGGCCGTCCACCTCCAAGGTTTCGAAGAACATGTTCCAATAATGTTAGCCATGATTTTGCCTCGAAAGTAGGAAATTTTTTTCCAAGTACTGACCTTTTTCCTCACTCTTCATCGCAATTGTTGGCCTCCATCTTAGATTCTGGCTGCTGGAGAAGATGGCCAAGTACTGACCATGCCACTATTTAGGAGCAGCGAGTGACGTGATTCATGGAGATGTCACTCCGATTCTTGCTCTCTTGTTAGCTGCTGTTTCAAGGAAACAATTAGGAGACCCACCATCAACATTTAGTGGAAAGCTAATGCGAAGGAGAGAGATGGGAACGCTCGAGCAAACAAAGAATCCTTCCAACAAAGCATGAACAAACTGGAACAACTACGGTCGGCAAAGACATAAAATTAAAGGTTGCAGACCCAACACGAAAAGGAGACGTGCTGGCTTGAACATCCTCGGAGGCATAAAATCGAAATGCACACACACTGCGAACCATGACAAAAAAGATGCTCCGATTCTGAGACGGCTATCACTTGATATTCGATCAATTTATTCCAGATCAAAACATGAGAAAAATTTTAAAAAATAAATAAATAAATAAATTGAAACTTGAATGTTAAGAATATAAATAATTAAAACGTCCATCTCTTATTGATAGGCGTAAGTTTTTCAGGAACTGGCAATTGTCAAGTATTTAAAATAATATCAGAGCAGATTGTGTCTGTGTGTTAGAATCATTTATAGTGAACACTAAATCTGTGAAAAATTCATAAGCTGGTTTATCATTAACTGCTCTCCCTAACCTCTTTGGCGCTAAATGCGACCATTAAGGCTAGTGATTTCTGGGTACCGTTCTCAAGTATGAGAAGAGCTAGACGGAAGTTTCCATTTCTATCAAGTGCAGTGCAGTGCCATGCTTTTTCTTGATATATCGGAGGTTTTGGGATTTTTCTAGGTTCATGAGATGTTTGTGCTGAAGACGATCAGGATCAAGTCCCTTTCACATAAACGTCCCAACAAAAGAACACAAACAGCAAAGTTCAGTTTATCAACAAAAAGCCACAGTTCTATCAACGTCATAAACAATGATGAGATAACTACCGATAGTAATAGTGAGGTAGCACTAAGCACTAACTCATACTAAATTTCATAGCAGCAAAAGTCTGAAGGGCATCAGTAGGTTTGTTGAACGATCTAATAAAATACTTCCAAAGATTGGGAACAACTGAGAAAGATGATGAAAGTGTAACCATGAGGGGAAAAAAGCAGTATAGTATGCTTCATGGCAGAACCTGAAGCCACTTTCCTAGGTGCAACAGTCAAGCATCTAGTGGAGCTACTTGTTAATTATTTTTGCTTCCAAGAAGCTCTATAATGAAACTTGAAGATATTATAATCAACAACTTGATCCATTCAAATAATGTTTACTTAAGAGGTAATTCTTGATTTGATTTTAGAGGAGGATAATGGCCAGCCAAGCAAACTTGCGTCAGTCTTTAAGTTATAGAAGATACCCTAATTTTCAATGACATTAAGAGATGCTGAATGTATTATAGATTTGCAAAGCAGAGAGAATCATCACAGCAAGAAATGTAAAATCTAGTTTTTGCCCAGCCGGGGCAATAAAACTTATTAAATGGTTAAGACAAACTTTAATATCAAGAAAAACAAATACATGGATTCTGACCTCCGCTTTAGGTGGTGCAGCAAACATTAGAGACAAATCCCTTGTGGTACAAACTGATGCATAAAAATTATTGATCCTGATATCGGTAAGTACAAGTTGAATTGACTATGGATTATATGGTGGAGCACATACCACGGCAATAGGGATAATCAGTAATTCCACAAAAAGTAACACAACTTGAATCCACAAGTTGACAAATCTAACCATTGGTGTTGTTTTCGTAGTTGGTCATGAAACCTAATGCTGCTCATGATCTCAGCAATATAGATATCAATTAAAGGTCATAAACAAAATGATCAAAAATTAAGATGTCACAAGGACTCCATATTATTTAAAGTGGAATGCTAGGGAATGATTGGAGCCTTCACACCCTATACCAGGACGAGTTAAAAAGCTGACTAATTAGCCTATTTCACTAAGTCCTAATTCTATTGTTCTTTGTTTTTAGTTTATATTTCAAGAGCCTCTAGTGGCCAGGTTTGATCAATTTTATGTATAGTCGTCCTAATATAGTTCTAGGACAAGCTAAGCAATTATCTAACTAATAGGACTCACATTTGGAAAAATTCTATAGGTTTGTTTTGATAATTTTAGGATGATAATTACAAAAGAAAAAGAAAAAAATCTCCCACAAGGCCTCTTAATAGGAAGATAAGCCCTTAAATCATGTTTTTTGACTTACCATACCTTTTATACAATTGATTTAGTGGAATTAGTAGTTACACCCTCTCATTCACTCTTATTCTTTGGATACTTTGTCCTCCTAATTGCAAATTAAATGGAACGATCATATTCTTTTTTTTTTAACTAGGAAGAAATTTTCATTACATTAAACAACGTACAAGATGCTTGTACCTGAGGTCCATCAACTATGCAAAAGTGTTTTGTGATCTATATTGCTATCAAATGGGGCCTATTTGATAAAAATAGATGGTCAATCCCAGTCCAACAAGGAAAGAATTAAAAAACTTTACCATCCTTCTATGTGGGAGTCGGAGAAAACTCGAAGCCTTATCCCTTTTTGCAGACATCTCTTTATTTAGCCAACTTAAATCTCATACAGAGTCTTATGCTATGTTCTTTATATATTGGATGTTCGAAATCAAACCGTAAGGCATATTGACTCCTTCAGGTACTTTGATATTACACCAGCTCTACTCTGCTATATTTTTCTTCTAAATTAGATGAAGAGGAAACATCTATATATGTACTAACCATTAGGATATCTCACCAGCCAAGAGAGAGGGATCACATTCTTTCAATGGGAATCAGAGTTGCAATCTTTTGTTACAACTTTTATGCCAACCATGTATTACTAATAGGACAATTCTTACTTCCTCCTTGTAGCCTTGACCCCAATAGGTTCAAATCAGAATTGAACCAAAATCAAACTGGGTCAATGGTTTGGCAGTTCTGAATCAAACCGAAAATAGGGCCATATGGTTCGGTTTTGATTCTTGGAATTTGGGATTGTAACCGATAGTTTCGGTTCGGTTCCAAACCAGCTAAAAAGAAAAAAAAAATAGAACACAAACAGGTTTCATGGTGCAGTGATTAGCACTTTAAATTAAAAGTCTAAACACTTGGTAGAGTAATTTAATTTTTTTTCCTTTTTTGTTGATCAGAATGGATGGTTTGAACCCGAACTGAAATTAGAACAGACAGTTCCAAATTTGAAACCGGTCCAATTTTGTTTCTAAATTTAATGGAATCGGAACTACAACCGACAATTCCGGAGCCGTGGTCAGGACTATCTCCTTGGTGCCACTGATAGTTGGGGTAACCCTATTATAAAATTCCATACAATCGGCATGGCTTTAGCTGTCTTTTTGCAGCCACAAGTGCTCTGCGAGCAGTGTGTGGAGCGAGTCTTTTAGCTACCACCAACTACAACGTCTTTCCATAAAACTTGTCACGGTGCTTGCTGTCAACTGAGTCATCGTAAGCGTACCAATAGTTTAATAATCACATTACTGTATTCATAAATGAAAGTAATTATATCCTATCAATGTAACAAGAGGCGCCCCACTATTCCTCTGAGATCCCATCGACGGATCAAAAGTAGTAGCCAAGATCGCAAGTACATCACGTAAATCCAAATGTAAATCAACACGTACGTAGAACAGAATCTTCGATCTTGAAACCAAGTAGCTTGATTTCTCCAATTTTCTTCACACAAATCGAATAGGATTCACCCAAATAAGACCACAAGTTACAGCGATGTAGAAACGAATCAAAGGGTTTCACCCTCAGAGAAAACGATCGTTTTCAAGATTACGAACCAGATCATACAAGAAGAACATATTTCACTCTCACATGCCAATACAACCACGAAAAGAAGACGAGGAGAGACGCTCCCAGTAATGAAAACCAAATCAAACGACGGATGAGAGTACGAAAAGGAAGATTGAGAGTTAAAATCGAAGAGGAACGATACTCACCAAAACTCGCTTCTCTCTGCGTTCTCCGATCTTGGAAGAGAAGCTTCGCCTTGCCGGCTCTCCAATTTTCGCCGTAGACGAGGAGGTTTCATACCATTCGTCGTCGCCGTTCTGGTAAAAGAAAACAAAAAGGTACGGTTTGTACATACACGGATCGGTGCGTTTACCGCGTGCCATCAGGACGACAAAGCGTTTTATTCTCCGGAGCGAAATCCTACTCGTCTCAGGAGCTTATTCTCACCCGACATCAGCTGAACATACGCATATGGTGATTGCCGTTTCGTGTCCCGATTCAAACACCTCTGACGTCGTCGCGGGCAACGTGATGCGATCATGGATCGGTGTCAAATATTGAATGTAGTGAATGATATCGCGTAACATTTTTTACACTTAGTTAACGTTATTATGTTTTATCACGAATGTAATCACTACACTCAAACAATGGTATTATTATGATAGTTATTATAAGTATATCTAACAAATATTTAATATAATAGAACTCATTAAGTGAAGTAAATTTTATGATTTCTTTTCAGGAAACATTTTTGATTTTTGATTTTTGATTTAAAATTCGAACCAAACGCCATGTAGTTTCTTTTGTGATTGCAAATATGAACTTTGGATCCTTGTGCCTAAATCATTTTAACTTGTATTCTTCCTTTTCATCCAACACATTACTCTTTGAAAGACTATAAATAAAATAATTTATTTTTCAAACATCAAAATGAATTTAATCTGAAAACAAGCAGAACGCGTTCGTGAACTCTATTCACCACCAAGCCTTCATCACGCGGTTGGAAAGTAAGCGGCCATGGCGATGCCGCAAAGTCCCTCTTTTGCTGCATCGTCCTTCCGCATCAGTACGTACCCCTTCTCACCCCACAGTCTGCCCCATGAGTTCTTCACTATCCAGTAATTAGTTCCCTGCCACGTCCCGTAGCCAACAGCAGTGACGGCGTGATCAAGGTCAGTCCCGCACGGCCCGGAGAAGATCCCTCCTGTGTATAACTGGAAGTCGGTCCCTTTGGCTTCGATGCTCACCGACACAGGTTGGTTGGCCACCGCCGCCATCAGCGCCTTCTCGTCGTTCACCGGTACGTACTCGAAGCCGGCGATGGAAGCTGCGTGGTCTGAAAGCATCGTGATGTTGCAGATACCTTGATATCCTAGGTATGGATAGTTGGCCTCGGTGGTGATGCCGCCGGTTGAGGTGACGAAGGCGAATGCTTTGTCCTGCCAACCCCCATCGCACGCACCATTGGAGAAGTCGCAGTCAACGAGTGCTTGCTCCGACAGAGAGATCAGCTTATCTGTCTTGATCTTGGTGATCCCTTCTATTGTTGATACCGTGGAGAACGCCCAGCAAGATCCTACGATTCGTGTTCATGCATCGATCGACCGACGAGAGAGAGAGAGGGTCAAACCCATTGCTTGGTCGTAGCTGATATTGTCAACGTAACCAGATGGCGTGGCAATGTATATTTCGTGCACGCAATGCTTGTCGAATGTATAATATGCATAGAGTGTTCGGTTTATAATGGATGGCATGCTTAGTTGACCTGATTAAAGCATGATTGTTTTGGACCAGATGAACTATTAACACGTACATGGAGACATAATAAGATATTAAACAATAATATATGTATTAATAGGTTTCTTTTGTGATATATATATATATATATATATATATATATATATATATATATATGTCGATGATTAATTGCTGTGAAATTACGATAACTAATCAGAGGTGTCCCAAATTCAGAATAATTAAGCATCTTATACATACAGGAGAAGATGCCGTCTTCAGAAGTTGTTTTCCTTCTTGAGTATGTGACGCTTATCATATTTGCAACCGTGAAGAATATTGGAAGTAGAAGATAAGTTCGATTGACTTGAGTTTCAGCAACGCTGAAGTCTATTTCCTATCCAATAATTAATGTTCCGACTCGATTTGCTTCGAAAGCGTATTGTGAACATGCCTATACAAGCGGAGGTGACCTCTTGCTGCCATGATGGAGGCTAATTCTAGAACTCGATTTGGTGGGCACTTGAAGTCATCTATCTATCAAATGGAAACATGTGTTGGTGAAACCTGCGACTAATCTCCATGTTTCTGTTGATGAAGACCTGTTTAGTCTTCGCCCATATATATAACATACATAAGGATTGACATACACAGTGCTAATATTCTAATGCCATAGTTCTTGGCATTGATCATATTGTGGCCGGATCCATCAACAATCTTTAGGACGTTGAGGCGAGTATCCGCGAAATGCATAAGGGTTAACCTGATGCTTGTGATGAGTTACGTGTATGATACATTATCATATATATATATATATATATATATGCTCCATTTTTCTTGACCACTGATACTTGGCATGGGATATCGTCACCCGCTTCACGATAGCTGCGGAGTGTTTACGACGACAAAGACCATGCATGAACCACACCTATATGGACGTGCAAACTTAATCCGATGTCGATCATGATCATATTAGCAACATTCATGTTGGGGGAGACCACCATTACAGCTTGGGAATTTGGAAGTACATGAATCTGCAATAGCAATGAAACTAGACATGGAAGATTGGGAGCAGGGTTAGCAACAGAAGCAGGAAGAAGAGGGACGAGGGTGGGACCGCGAAGGATCCGCCGTGGCCATGTATCTGGTGAGATCTGACGGCGAGCGGCACTTCGTCGAGGGAGAGGGAGCAGGAAGCCGCGTGAGAGCCGCCGGCATCCTCGGCCGCCATGAGCGCCTGGAGGACGGAGGTGGCGGTGGGCAGGAAGAGTGTCCGGTTCTTGGAGAGGAGCCATGTCAATCCCATCAGCTGGCATTCCCTCTCATGCGCTGCGGCCGCCTCCTTGCCTGGTATGCTCAGGTTGCTGCTGCCACCCTGCTTCTCTTTGGCCTTCAGCTGCCAACACATGCAGGCACAGTTAACAGTTGACAGTAGGAATTTTGCTGCCTCGATTCTGACCAATTCGCTTCATTTGCAACTGTTCAATTGAAATCTACTACGGTTTCCTCGGATCCAGACAAAATTTAGCGCGAGTTTTATGAGCAGTGACTTTGGGAGTGGGACGAGGCGCGGAAATCGCAGTCAACGTCGTTGTTCCTCGGGAAGCTAAAAATTGTCGAGATGTGTAGGTTCGAGCGGAGATGATGATAATGTTCTAAAAGGATGTCGGGTTCATTATGTAGCTAACTAATTCAAGAACCATTTGATCAAGAAAAATTAATGGAGAACTTTTAATTAATAGAAACTTCAAGATTCGTTGTTATAATGGTAGTTGACACCGGCGTAGACTCATAAATGGAGAAGGTTGAATTGAAGGGAGCAATGGCAGCTTGTTAAGACCCGAAATTTATAATGTTGGATCACATCGCATCACCTTAATTTCATTCTCATAATATATGTATTCGTGGAATTTTCTTGCTGGACGAGTCGGCTGGTTGGGAAGCGACTCACCTGGTTTAGGGTCCGAAGGCACCGAGTGCACCCGGCGAACCCGGGACGAGAGCAGTCCTTCTTCAGCCTCCGTCCGGCGTCCCCTGCCGGCACCCACCGCCCCAACTTGACGTCCGCAACGAACGCCCCAGCGCAGGCGAGACGCCGGAGGCGGACGCCGCAGTAGCAATACGCAGCGTCGCACGTGGCATTCACGCGCGGGAGCTCCACCCCGCGGTGGCGGAGCGCGCGCTCCACGCCGCCGATGCACGTCTCCGAGTCGTCGGGGAGGGCCGGCAGGTCGAAGCCGGTGGATGGTAGGGGGTGGGCTGCGAGAGCAGTGGCGGAGTAGGCGGTGAGCAGCCATGCCTTGAGGGCGGGACAGCAGCTATAGCGGGAGGGAGGACCGCCGTCGGAGGCAGTGCAGGCGGCGGAGACTGATGGTAGAAGGTCGGACGGCGGGTCGAGAGGGCAGGCGGCGAAGGAGACGCCGGACTGCTCGGGGGAGGCTGGGATGGTGACTGGACTGGAGGCGGCGGTGGCGGTGGCAGCGATGAGCTGAATGGAAGCGGTGTCAGGGTCGGGCACTGCCACCAGGAGAGAGACCTGTACCAGTACTAGCAGCGGTAGGAGATTAGGCATTGCGCTCTTCTCTCTTTCTCTCGTTCTCTCTCTCTCTCTCTCACTCTCTCTCTCTGCGCGCGGACAGCGCAATCCTATTGCATTTTGCCTTTTGGGTATCTCTGTCCCTTCCTGCTGATGTTTGATCGCTGCGTTCCGAGAGGACGTTAGAGAGGGAGAAAGGGAGAAGCGTTCAAACATATAGCGAGGATGAAGGTTGTGGCTGTGGTTTGCTTGGAGACGATATTGGGCTGTCGTTGATGTATATATGATTGGACAAGATGGATGTCACTTGTAACTTGGGAGGTAAGTGTGGATATTGCGATGTTCCATCGGTCTTTTTGCCCACGTCAACGAAAATTTTGGATGTATTGGATAAATATGTAGTGATGCGTAGACGATTATTGATCAATCTTAATGCATGAACACTCCTTAACAGTAACATCATTAATATACTACCCATATTGTAACATAGGCGACGACAGAGCATCAGTTAAAGGCCTCTTTTCACAGACTCTGCTTGGGTTGAGCGAGTGGTACACGAGTGGAGCTTTCGTTGCCATGGCTGTCCGGGTATCAGCGAGGCTGGCTGAGCCCGTGAAGATACTGGAAACAAGCAGCACGGAGATGTGCTTTGGACCCCATGTCTCTGCGACTGCCCTTGTCTGCGAGCTGATGCGCTCACAAGCTCAGCGTTTTTATGCATAGGATTCCAGGAAAACAACACTAGAAAATGATGAGGTTACGTTATGGCATGGCATTATCCGCGGAGTCGAGTGTTACGGACACGCAAATGATTCGTCTGCAGTAGATGGGATAGGATGGTCCGAGACACAGTCTTCCCCAAGTTTCCCAGTGATTAAATGGTCCGTAAAGCATGTAGAAATTATCCCAGTAAACCAAGATAAAAGCTCCCGAGGAACTTGTTCATACATCAGCAATTCTTCCGTAATCTGGTGGAGCAGGTTGTGTCTGGGACAAAATAATTGCAGTGACCAAGATCACACGCAAAGTCAAACTTCGCTTCTGGATGCTTGTCGCCAATTTTGCAGGAGACATCAACACCAGGAAACAGAGTACCGTACATCAACAAGGAAAAGACATGACACTAAAGGCTCAATCATTGGAACCAATGAGATCAGCAGCATTAGCTGCATGTATATGTTCGAGAATCTTTAAGGAAGGATGTGAGCCCTGTTGCTGTGATCCGAACCGAGGAGTATCGACCATGGAACGGTGTGAGACATCTGGTATCGGGAGTGGGGGCTATTTGTATGTACCATTGCGTGGAGTGGAATGGTTGCGGAAGGAATGATACCTGCTACATCTATCTGTCAAATGCAGAGAATGCACACACAGAGGAGCGACTCTGTTTCATGGCAGTGCCGCCTCGGAGTCCATCGTGGTCCACTAAATATTCCATGAAGTACCAAATGGCGTTCAGCTCCCGTGCATGTGACGCTAACTTGTAGGATTCATGTGTCGCCCACCTTGTTCTTACATTTTTGTTCCTTTGTAATCAAATCCAATTACTGGCCTCTGTTTTGGTGGCTCTTTGGCTGCTCGCACAGGCAACAAAGCAGAGGGGCTTATGCGTTCTCCAGGAGTGTGGTGGTGTTCTTTCCACGATGCAAGCATGCGTTCAACTTATATCGACGATTCTTCTAGGGCTCAAGAATCAGATCTAAAGATTCGTTTGCCCACATGAAGAAACATAGATTTAACTACCAACACGAGCATTGCCATGGCGTGCCCGCTTATGTTCATTCATCCTTGACTGCAAGCGTGTAGAATTCATAAAACAGTCACACCAACAGCACAAGCCCAATATTAGACAGTATTCAATGCCAGTTCTATTAATAACACAACAAGATTTGGTTGTTCCTTCATATGTACACAAGAAAGAAGGCACACATCCTCGTAGAGCAGATCCAAAGCCTTGAAACAGCTGCATCGTCTTTCTTTCTCAGCCAGAAATGACCAAGTCTCTTCAGATATCGATGATGACCAAATTCCCTGAATGTTGAGCACATGGTTCAAACTGTGACCTGATACAACAAAAATGTAATGATTAATAGACGAAATTCTCAGTCCAAAGGAACTACGCCATGAAATGAAATGAGGGGTAAAGCTGAAGGACCTTAGATAAATACACAAAGAAAGGCTGACAAATAAACGAATGAATAGTGCACCAAAAAAAAAAAGTATCTTAGCCCTCCTCGTTTTTCTTCAATTTCCTTTTTGCACTTCCTCTCTTTTAGGACTTCCAGCCCCCAATACAATCATACGGTTGTCGCATAAACTCATGAAAGAGGAGCAAAAAATAGGTAATCAAGACAATTCTACGAAAAGAAAGGTTAGTACACCATGGAGGTGTGCACTTAAGCGTTTCAGCACATCCGTAACCAAGTAAACTAGCAACTTTGCACGCGATACAGACTTGCAACGAGAACAGGTAACATACTGTCCATCTACTCGAGCTTTCTTTAACTGGCACTGTTCTTCATTCTTTTCCCTGGAACGCCCTTTACTTGAAATAGGAACCACATCTCGGGCGTGGCTAGTTGGGTCATCAGATGGTACTTCAGTTTTCCCTTGAATAGGAAGCAGCATGTGAGGCACAACAAAGTCAGTTCCGGAAGCACCATTTGTTGATCCACCTGCTATAACTGTTACGGTTGGAGTTGACAAAGAGTTCCAACTCTCAATCAAGGCAGAACATTGTTTACCTGCATATTCCTCCTTGGCTGAACAAATAGAATCTGCTGCTGCAGTGTTAGCAGGTACTGAAGCAAATGCCTCAGAATATGCAACAGCATGTGGAATGTCATAAAACAAGGGAGCCAACATTTTATTTTCTTGGATACTACTACTGGGACCACTTGTCTCTGCATTTCTAGCCAGGGATGAGCATGATCCTTTCCCTCTATGCACCACAGCGTAATGTTTATTCTTTGATTCTATGATTTGTCTCATAATATCTCCTGTATCACAGTTTCCTGAAAAAAAAGGGGGGGGGGGGAGGAATAAGCCCTTTTCTTGTAACAAACATGTCCTACCAAGTTATGCACTTGGGAATGGCTGTAAATCAACTAGAAACGTTGAAGCTAACCTTGATTTATCTCTCAGAAATAAACAATGAATCTAAAAAAGACGTTCGAAGCACCAAATCAAGTTCTTGCTCATATTTAATATGATTCTACTGGCACAGAACTAAGCTTAATCAATTAAAAAAAGTTTGAGCAAACCTAGAATATATTTAATAACAGTGCAAGCAGCAACCCGTTCTGCCTCTTTTTTGCTCATTGCAGTTTCACCTTTAAATGTCTTGTTATCAAACAAAACAGAAGAGACGAAGGCTGGAATCAGCCCTGGCTTGTGAGAAGTCTCATATGTTGGCAGGTTCATGTTCATCTTCACAGAATATTCATGCAGGATAAGTTTACAGAGAATGGTATCCTGCAAGTGAAAAGTAAAAAAAATTTCATCAGAAACTAAAATTTTGAGTGTTAATAAACTCACAGAAAGTAGACAAAGAAACATACATTATGGATGAGAGACAAGCCCTTGTTCTTGTTGATGATACGGATGCCCTCAAGGGCAAATTTTGCTGCACATTGTTCGGCTGCCTTTTTGGTCGGAAATGTGCATGGGGAAGTGAAATTTTTCCCATCCACGACTACAGTAGACCTGAACTCAGGCGCATGCGGGGTTCCCTCATTAATAGTCTGATATAGTGGCAAGGTGATAGAAGATCTTTGTGTATATTCTTGCAACCTATTCTTATGCATGAACTCTTCTGCCATACCTATAACCAAAAATTCACTTATCGAGCAAACTTGAGGAAATACTATTATTTGAACATAAATATTAATAAACACAACATGCAAGGGTGTGATACCAGGGAATTTACAAAAAAGACCAAGTGTTGAGAAGAAGAACAGAGATAGCAGAAGCTCATGATAATCTATGTCCCAAAAGCCAGTGATTCATAACTTCAGCATAGTAGTAACGACATACATCTCAATCATGTGTGCATAAAGAGAAAGCAAAAAAGAAATAAAAAATCAAAATAAATTGCCTCCCATGACATCACACAAAAAAATTTAAAAAATCCAATCATAACGTGCATATAGATCTTCTGATCCATTAGCTTCAAGCACCATCAACAGGATCATTTCAAATGTGCCGATAAGTAATTTAATCCTAGGTAAGTCTTGTAACTTCTTATCTTTGATTATTTATGACAAAGAACAGTTCCATCAAGGGGAAAATGAAACAATGGACATATAACAGAATACGCTAAGATTAGTACCTCAAAAAAGGAACAATGGACTTATAAATTTTTGCCTCATTTAGTTGGACATGCAATAAAATACACCAAGATTACTGCCTCATGTAATCAGGATTAAAATGAACAAATTCAAAGTATGTGTCATCTAATGTTTTCTGCTATGCTCTTTTCTGTTAGGTCACGTATAATGGAATAAAAAATGGGGATACCACAAAGCAATAGGACTCAGTAACTACTTCATACATTAAGTAATGCATACTTGTTTTTATAGACTTCCGTGAACCTTTCGGCACAACACAAAAAGAAAAAGCCTTTTGTAGACAAGAATGTTATGATTATGTTTTGGTTATTAAAGCTACACATATCTGTAACGTCATAACAAGTAACTTACAAACACTGGTTGAACCTCATGACCAAATACTGAAAATGTAAACATTTAGTACAAGACCAATTACTAGCATATATACCATTCCGAGACTTAAAAAAGAAATCTTGCTCGATATACAAATTTACGATACCACATGAATATGTTCTCAAATATATATTTCTTTTGAGCTAAAATACGACTTACTTCCCCATCACCATCACAAGTTTCAACATTTACAATCGAATATAAAACATAATAAGTCTGCTCCCTTTTCTGCAAGATCCAGAGAAGCAGAGGAGGGTTACTTCGCCTGTTCGCCATGCTACAAACTAAAAGTGTTAGCAGACACATGGTCTTTCTTATTTTAGTTTTCAACCAAAAAGATCACGAGAAACGAAAAGAAAACAAGAACAGAGCCTAGAAATGGCATTAAAACTCCAAAAGGTGCTTCCTTTACGATTTGGAATCCCGGGAGAGATTCGGAAAGGAAGCAGCTCAGAGCAAGATCAAAGACGAGGGAAGATGGAGAGAGCGTAATAGAGAAGATGAGCAGCGAGGAGATTTGGTCACAGCAGCGCTGCTCGATGGATTCGTAGCGCGCACAAATTAGGAGGTGGATGCAAGGGTAACCAACGGCCACTTACTGATTCCAACCCGGGAGGTCCAATCGCCGGGGTAGCGAGCAATCAAATGAAGCTATCCATACGAGAGGAGCCGGGAGAAACGAAAGGGGGCAACGGACCAAAAAGGGTGTGGTTTTAGGGTTCCGAGGCCTGACGCGGCGCTGCGACTGAGTTGCACCGCTCATCTCGTGACTAAATTAGATCGAGTATGATTTCTCGAATAAAAGAACTAATTAGAACAATAAAACATAGTGGAAAATTTCCAAGAGAAGTCATTTATTTTGGGTTTTTCCGATCGGTGTCTTTTTTCTTTTATTTTTATTTGTTGTCATCATTAACTCTGTTTTTTTTTTTTCTGTACCTTCAAACCATCCCCGATAGGATAATCAAAAAATTACAATCATTTGCATTGGATTGATCTGAAAAATTTACAATGGCATAGGTTTGTGATGAAGGGGTCTGAAAAATCCTATGAGGTTGGAGCTGATCTCCAAGAAGGTTCTCTTGAAACATGAAGGCTCGATCTGTTATTCACATAGCAAAGTTTGAATTTTGTGCATGGTAGGTGATAGTGCAACACAAATGTGTTTAGTAGGATAACAGTCACCTTTAGTATCTGGATCTTTATATTTTTGAAAGTTACATTGAGATTATTATACTTATTAAAGTGAAACATTTAATCTCATTGTTCTAACAAAATTTTTCGTTTTGAATTCTATAAAATTATCATTTTAACTTTTATTGATATCTTAATGTTTCACTTTGATAAATATAGGAATCTCAATATAACATTTAAAAATATAGGGATCGGTATATTGAAAATGTTTCACTTTCATAAGTATAGGAATGCTAGGGCATGTACGATCTTTTACGATCAGTAGCGTGTCCAATCTTACTTCTATCCTTGTTGTAATGATAATCTCACTTATTACTGTTAAATCTAACAACAAGTTTCACTGGTCGTAAGAGTAAATGCTAAGAAGCCAAAACAAAGAAGGCCTTGGCAAATGGCCATAATCCTCTCAATAATACAAATAATTAAAGGGTATGCGCTTGTGGGAGGGCTACATACGGACTTTTACGTAGATCTCACCACTAGGAGGATTGCAAACTTTATGCTTGTATGATATTTGTTGTAGAAATGACTTGATCGGATTAGATTTAATAGCAGATGGTGGATGTGAACATGTGGGTCAATCTTATAGTATTACTTCTCTTGATCTTTGAGATGATTAAACAAAATTATTTGGCAAACCTACATCGACCACGCACTGCTCCGTGAGTTATTCCACCTCCTCTCATGGCCTATTACTACTGGTACGCCTCCCATGCATATTCTTATCCTAAATCGATAAAAGGTCAAAAGATAGAAGATATATTTTTCTGCTCGGGTGATTTGTTTTCAAGTTGACATTTAGCCCTTGTCAGTCGTCGTATATGTGATCTTGAAGCTTACCTATATTATTATAATTAGGTAGATCAATATCCTGATTAATAGTACTGTACATTCAGCTATGGATGTAGCAATGGTGAGTGACCTCATCATATGTAGGAGGAAGTTGTGTGTTTTCTACAAACAAAAGACAAGATTTCTTATTATTATACTTGTGACAAGTTCGGAACTCAAATTCTTGCAGTTTGGTTCGGTTGACATTATTTCCGAATGATGTGTGTCGACAGACAGACGGTGGTATGAATTAGAAAAGGAGATCAAAAAGGGGAAGTCAGAATAATTGGTTGGCTGTTTTGCTCCTAATTTAGAGTTCACTGGTTGGTTAGAGCCGGAGTTGAGAGTTCCTATCTCCATGAGAGGATAAGATGGCATCGATGGCTTCCTTTACTTGCCCAACATCTGGTGGTTTTCCGCCTTGTCCCGGCCATAACTCATCGGTCGCCAACACCTGCATAGGAACACAAGAGGCCAAATCTCAGACATCAAGATGAAAAGCTCTCGATTTAGCCATCTGATTTAGTAAGAAGAAGGATTATTAATATATCCGATCGCAAGACCTTCACTTGCAACTGCAGGAACTTCACGTAGCTAATCGCCTTCTCCAGCATGGTTACCAAATCAACCTACGTGAATTTTTTTTGTTGTTGTATGGAGAACACAGTTAGTTACAATCGCCAAGACAATGGCGCAGGAAAAATAACTGGGAAAAACAATACATCCGAAGCGAGGCAAACCTTTGTGCCATTGGGAACGAGATCTTGAAGAATTTTGAGCCGCTCACTGATCCGTTCCCTCCGGTTCTGCAACGACAAACTACCTTGAGATGATTCATGTTTGTGTTCCATTGCCAAATTGTTCACAGCGTATAATAACAGAAAACAAAAGGTCCAAATTAATATATTAGTAGTGGTAGATGAAAACACCTTTGCTGCGATACTCTGTTGTGGATCCTTGGATGGACTAGTAGACTTCTTGTCTTTGGTCCTCCTGGGAGTACCGCACTGCTTCTTGGGACTTTGCACATCACATGAATTCTGCAACAGAAACATAAGCAGTCGACGACGTGACTTACGTAGAATTTAATTCTAAGAAACCCATGCTTCATTTCTTAGGTTATCTTGATGATATATCGAACACTACACATTACCGTGCTCGAGCGTTTTTGGAGGACCGTTGTTTGCCCGATGCTTTCTTGAAGGTCATCGAAAGCTGCGGCACCGGAGTATATAAACCCAAACCGATCTTGACCTCGACGCTTGTTCCCGCTTCCTACCTCGAAACAGTCTTTCTCCTGAATTAGCCTGGAATCAGCAGTTCCACGCTTGATATCCAGGTGATTCGGCTGATAACTTCGATCCATGGCATCGATCCAAGCGGCGCATTCCTCCTCGTGATCAAGGTTCAGGTGACCATCGAAACTAAGCACCGAAGTGTCGAAGCAGCCCCAGGACTGTTGGGATGCGACGACGGAGAGGGATTCTTGTGGCGGAGAAATCACCGCACCGAGCATATTGTACGCGCAGCTATCCGAGTTCCTAGGGTCCGAGTGGAAAGAAAGAAGGCTGCTCGAATAGCTCCCGTGGGAATCAGAGCTTCTTTCTCCATCACGGAGAAGCGTGCTGCCGTCCCCCAGATAGCCGAATAACTCAAGCGAAGAAGGAAGTCTAAGCTCTTGAATTGATGGCCCTCCTCCGTCAAGTGGACACGCTGGTGGACCTTGTCGAGTTCGATCTTTTGCGAGGGCCATAGAGAGAGATAGCGGAAGAGTTGTGGGATCCTACCGAGTTGCAGAAACAAGAGGAGGAAGTGGAGTGTATCTGAGAGAGAGAGAGAGTATTGAGTGGTGACAGAGGGAGGAAGAGGGACTTGCTCTTTGGGATGCTGCCGTTCATGTATGTTCTTGTACATGCATGCTGCGAACTTGCACCTCATATAAGGGGAGATGGCTTCTCCTTCCTATAAAGTAATGTGCATAAGAATAGCATAATTATATAAAACTTAGAAGCGCTTGCATGCATTTCTGTGAGGAGGAGGAGGAGTTCGGTGGCATGAACGGAGAGATAGGGGATGGATGTGTGTGACAGAGGAGGAGAGAGAGAAAGCTAGGAAGCCAAAGGGTCGCCGGAAGTGTCGCACGCCCACGTCTAAGATTCCCATATGAGTGGCTCCTTCCTCCTCACTTCCACAACCCTAGAGCACGTGGGCCATGGTTATAAATCTCGTGGGCATCTCCTAATCTTAAGACATGTTTGATTCCAGACATGACACTGTGAGCTTTTAATGCTGTGATCCTTCTCTTTTATTAGTTTATGACATCCATATCGAACCAGGAGATGAGCATACACGCTTCGAGGAGACTCCTTCGAGACGCACCTACTCTCTGTTCTATGAACTCCGACTCAGGTTCATTTGTTGGAGCTCCTCTATGGTCCTGATTCCTTCAGCGCTGCTACCTCTTGTTTCATCATCTCGTATCCTAAGCCTCGTGTTAAGGAGTGTAACAGTTGTGATTAACTATGGAAAGTGATCTTAAGCAAAACTGAATCTTGCTGCTGCGGAACCCAATGGACACCTTCTGCAGCAGCAGATGTGGTTTTGGCTATGATCAAGCACTCTTTAAACTGTCTGCTGTTTGCATAATTTAAAGAGTTAAAAATATGCTGAAATCCTTTCTCCTCAAACTTGTTTAACCAACAACCGCCAGAGTCAACAATAGCAGGCATCAATTGTTGGGTGGCTTATATTACTTCTCAAATGAATGATCACCGATGAGTTGGGCTGCCTGTTGTTCCATGAACCCACGAGTCCAGAGATGGAGAAGAAGAGTACACTGTCCTTTGAGATGCCATGTGAGCAAATGAAGCGATAGAATATATAGGCGAGTATGAGTGGCTCATCAGAGCAGCATTTAATGCAGGGGTGGGCACAGCTGTTGAGGTGAGCGATGCAATGACATAAGTTCCATGATCATGTGGGATCTCGAGGCTTGGAGACGAGTCTTGTGGGAACGAGTGCAATGTAATGGAGGCCAAGCAATAATGGGGGTCATTAAACCACAGCATTTAATGTCAAGGGTCTTACCATTAAACAAGTGAAAGCAGCACGATTAATGACGAAGCTACAGCAAACATCATGCCATGGATGTGAACTTTGTCTCATGAACCGAAGCAACCCATATGCTCTGGTAACGAATTCCTCCATATTCTATGTGGCTTATGGGATTCTGGTTTTCAACTTTGTGATCCTCATGTTCATCAAGGTGAGAGCAGTCGAAATTTTATTGTGAGTTCAGAACTCTGCCCAACCTCAGTGCTAGGAGAAAGTCATAGCTGAAACCACAAGATTCATTATTTTGGACCGATAGAAAGTCATACCTTTCTTCCATTTGGCTTTGAAGGAGTAACACTTTGATTTAGTAAGCCTCATGCTTCTTCACTGCAACATTTTCTTGTGATCTTGCTTTCCGCTCATGAAACATACTGTTGAGATTGATTGGGATACTTCACGACATTTTGGAACAAGATTCATCTATATCCCATTGACATTCTTCTAACTCGCCATCATTCTTCCCTTCCGCCTACTTTACTTCTCCTCTCCTGCTCGATCTTCTTCCCCGCATCAGCCTGTCGCTACTTCTTCCTGTTCTTCCCAATCTTCGTTGGAGACGAGACGGCGGATATCGGCGGTGGCGGGATTCAGCAACGACGGCCGTGGCGGCACGAATTCGCCAGCGAGCGTCGAGGGA